CAACGCGGAGGCTGCTGGGAAACGGAGTCTCAGGACCAACGCGGAGGCTGCTGGGAAACGGAGTCTCAGGACCAACGCGGAGGCTGCTGGGAAACAGAGTCGCACGCCGGGTGCTCAGGGCCGAAGCGGAGGCTGCCGGGAAACGGAGTCGCAGAATCACCGCGGAGGCTGCTGGGAAACGGTGTCCCAGAACCGCCGGCGAGGTTGCTGGGAAACGGAGTCGCAGGCTGCTTCGAGGATGCCGAGCCGCGCGGTTCCCGCTCCGGGAGTGAAGGACAGCTCAGTTGCTTCCCGTTGCCTCTGTCTCCTTCCCCTCCCCGGTCCTCGGGGGCACCCTGCCCTTCGGATGCAGGCTGAGCCCCTTTCCTAACCAGTCTCAAGCCTGCCCAAAGGCTGAGCAGGACGGCGTGGAATGCGCAGGCGCAGCTCTCTCTTGTTCCCCCCCCCACACACACACACACACACTGCGCACGCGCAACTGAGCACCGCCGGCCGTTACGGGGGCGCGCGGGGGGCGCGCCGACGGAGTGCGCACGCGCAGTCGGTTTCCACCAGTTGTCCTTAGTCTTTAGGGTTTTTTGGGGTGTCCCTGACCCTGGTGATGCTGTGCGATAGAGTTGGGCCATGCTCCGTGAGGCTTCACCGATTGTTTAGCTTGCTGGGGTCCACAGTAAACATTTGGTACCAGCAGCCAGGAAATCAAGAGATAAATTGCACTGGGAAAGTCAGCTGTCAGGGACCTCTCCAGAGTACTGCAACGAGGTCAGGCTGGAATCTAAGATGTGCCTGATCGGGCCTATAGTCTTCGCAGTTGTGTGCTATGCATCGGAGAACTGGATAGGACTAGGGATGATAGACGGAGAATTGATGCCTTTGACATGTGATGCCGGAGAAGAGTTGAATATACCATGGACTACTAGGAGAACCAACATGTTCATTTTAGAGAGGGTGAAACCGGGCTGCTCCTTGGAGGCAAGGATTCTGAGACTTCGTTTGACATGTTTCACTTTGGACATGTTGCAAGGAGGGACAGGTCCTTGGAGAGGGTCATCATGTTTGGGAGGGTGGAGGGACAGCGCAGGAGGGGAAGACCCTCGGTGAGGTGCATTGATTCAGTGACTGGGGTAATGGGGGTGGGTGTGTCGGACAGAGCAGGGTTTAGGGCTGTTGTACTTAGGGTCGGAGGCGACTCGACGGCACATAACAACAAAGTGCAAACAAGCAGATGTCATTGAGTTTTTATTTGTTCTCTTGCGCCTTCAAGAGGATTCTGACTCGCAGCCACCCTCTAGGCACCTTCCAGGACAGGGAACAACTTCCCCCCAAAAGCTTTCTGAGGTCGTAAGTATTTACACCTGCAGGAACCCGCCTCCCCAGCTCCGCCCACTCCCCATTCATCCTGAGGTCCAGATGCCGCGTCGGGCCCTTTAAATGCGAAACTACACTTCCCAGAAGGCACTGCGACGCCGAGCCACTCAGGACGCCGCGGCGAGGCTATTTGCGCCTGCGCCACCTTCCGGCTCCGGGCGGCAAGTCCGCCGGGGCCGAAGAGGGACGCGATCTGATATCGTCAGGGGCGCAGTCGCCGGAGCTCGGACCCGAGGAGGCGGCAGGTGAGGGGCCCCTGAGTTTGCAAGGCGCCTCTGGGGTCTTGGCGGAGGTCGGCGCCGCAGCCTGGCTGACTTCGGGCCGGGGAGGAAAGGGGCCCCCGCGTCGGCCCGCAGCTTGTCGGCCTGCGGACTACATTTCCCGGCGGTCCGTGCGGCGGCCGCCTCTCTGGCGCCCCCTTTCGACGTCCAGGCTCCTAGCAGGAGCCCATGGAGCGTAGGTGGGTAAAAGGGGTCCCCATCTCCTGACCCCAGTAATATACTTAGGGGAGTTTTCTATTCGTACGCATGCTGCCTTTTAATGAGGCGGGGCAGAGCTTGTTTTATGAGATTCCCCACTAATTGCAAACTAGAATAACTGTAGATCCACTTAGGTTAACCAGTTCTGCCAAGGTTTTAAACTGCTTCCTAATGGTTCAGCGGTATGTAGCTTTCTGAGCGGAGTCTGCATAGCCACCAGATCCGCTTCCTGTGGGATTGTTTTGGGTTTTTTTGACCCAGAGTAGGAAACAGGCAAGGTGGCCTGGTGGTGCAGTAGATTAAGCACTGGACTGCTGACCAAACCAGATCAGAACCACTAGTTCTAGGCTCCCTCATAGAAAAATCTATCAGTGTGCACCTCAGAGACGCTCAGGCTTCGAAACCTCTCTCTTTGGGGCATTCCAAGTCGTGTCTCGTGGGATCCCCTGTGCATCGACGTTAACTAGATGGCCGTGAATTTAGGAAACCGAAAACCAGCGGCGCCCTGCTCAGAGATGACAGCCCAGTTGGGCTCCTCGAATGTCTGTTGCTTTCCAGAAATCACCCACAATCCTTCCTCCCCAGAAGTTCCAGGCACGTTATCCGAGAGAGCAGATGATGATCTGTGAGCCTTCAGAGAGCAGCACGCAAGCTGACCACCTGCCCTCTGTGGTCGAGGCTGTTTGCTTTCTAGACAAGTCAGAATTCCAGTCAGCGGATCTGGTTAATGGGCAGTGTTTATGCCAGCCTTGATTAAGACGGCAATTACAGGACCATTTGGAAGTGGGTAAAGCCCTCGTTGAAGGTTCAAACCCTCCCAGCAACTCTAAAGGAGAAAAGAATGGCCCTCTTTTCCTCTAAAGATTGCAGCCTGCAAACCTTAGGCAGTCTGCTCCGGCAAGTGAGGTGGCTAGGAATCAAGGTCAACCGGAAGAGAAGAGGTTACCTAGGTGGTACAAATAGTTTATTGATTAACCTTTATGGATTACTAAAGGTTGGTGATTTGAATCCGCCCAGGTGCAGTGAAAAGGAAAGGTCTAGGGTTTCCTTCCATACAGATTGACAGCCAAGAACACCCCATGGTCAAGTTCGAGTACACACAGAGCACGGGAACACTTTAGATAATCTCGTTCAAAATCTATATCCACCTGTTACTGTTGTTAGGTGTCTTAGTCACCATATGAACGACAGGTGGAAATGTTACCTTGTCTCCCCCTGTGTTGACCCTGTCCCACATGCTGGAGCCCCTAATTCCAGTCACTGTTTAACTCTGTCTTATTTAGAGCCTTCTCCGACACATCACCTTCTCCAGCATGATGTCTTTTCCCAAGAACCGAACCCCCTCTGACAACATGCCCCAAGTATCCTTGCCTCCAAGGATTAACCTGATGGCATTTCCTCTAAGACACACTTGTTTGGGTTTTTGTTTGTTGGTTTGGTTTCTTTTTTTCAGTCCACGAGATTTTTCATATTCTTCACTAATACCACAGTTCCAAGACATCAGGTCTCCTGTTCATCTTTATTCACTGGCCAACCTTCAGATGCATAGGCAGCGATTTCAGGTACGAAGGCTTTCATCAGGTGCACCTCCGTCTTTGAACTGGCATCCCTGGACTGTAGGAACGTTGGAGAGGTTCTTGACCGCACATTTTCCCAGTGCAACATGTCTTTTGATTTTTTTTTCCGCTGCTGCTATCATGGATCATGTTTGTGGACCCAACGAAAATGAAATGTTGACAACTTTGTGTTTGTTTTTTCCTGTCTGCCATGCGGTCATAGATAAGGCACACAGTTTTCTAATCCACCAGCTGCTGCATGAGACAAAAATGGGTAATCTTCCCTGTGATTTGTTGTTGTTGTTATGTACCGTCGAGTCGCTTGCGACTCAAAGCGACCCTATGTACAACAGCCCTAAATTCTGTTCTGTCCTGTGCCCATGCACCATCTCCGATACACCCATCCCGATTACCCCAGTCACCGAATCAATCCACCTCCCAGAGGGCCTTCCCCTCCTGCGCCGTCCCTCCACCCTCCAAGCATGATGTCCCTCTCCAAGGACCGGTCACTCCTTACATGTCCAAAGTATGTTAGACAGAGGAGCCTCAGAATCCTTGCCTCCAAGGAGCAGCCTGGTTTAACCCTCTCCAGGATGAATCTGTTTGTTTTCCTAGCAGTCCATGGTACCCTCAATACTCTTCTCCAGCACCACAGCTCAAAGGCATCAATTCTCCTTCTATCCTCCTTCATCATTGTCCAACTCCCTGTGATTTATTGCTGCTGAAAACCCAGCTCTCAGTGGGTTTTGAATTGAAGGCACTGTGCAGTCAAGTTTGTTTCAGTTTGTGGTAGGACAGAATAAAACCGCCCCTGGGGTTTCCAGTACTAATCCTCACAGATGCAGACCGCCGCGTCATTCTCCTGCAGAGCTGTTAATAGATGCAAACCTTCCAGTTACCGCCCAGTACTTCACCCACTGCACCACTAGGACTCCTCTGACAACAGGGAAGTGGCTGCATAAATCCAAGGCCAGCAGCTATTCCTGTAATGGAATCTTATGCCACTAATACAAATGGTGCTTTTAATCGTGGACTTAACAAGGAAGAATGCTTGGCACATGATGTCACACACAAGTCTCCTTTCCACATTATTTAGAATTAAGGACTTGGGATGTTTCAAGTACTTTTTACATAATCCTAGGGATTCATTTGCTGGAGTGGTTCGGTGACGTTGCTCTTTTTAAAAAAATTTTTTTAATTGGGATTTAAAAAAAAATTTATTATTTGTGTGTGTGTGTGTGTGTGTGTGTACCATCAAATCAGATCTGACTGGTACTGGAGGAGATTGCCCCTCCTCCAGCAGAGCATCTAGTGGATTCAAACTGCTCACCTCTGGGATTACGGTGCAGCTTCTTGCCACTAGGCCACTTAATTGAGATTTTAGTGAAAGTTTGTAAAGAACTTGGATTTACATTCATTCATTGTTGCACATTTCCCACCCTGCCCCCAAAAGTTCACTTTTTTTAAAAAAAATAATTTTTTCATTGTTATACAGTCGTCCCCCACCCCCAAGTCTCCTTTACTATGCAGTTCTTACTCTGGACTCTTGTCATGCCAATAATACCTAATCATATATTCCTTTTATACAGTTCTGTCTCTCATCTGTTTTAATGCTGTGTACGTTATTTATTCCTTTTTTTCTTAGTTGCCCCCAAACCTGATGTCAGTCCTGTTTTATAACAGTGGTGGTATTGTGCATTATTTGTCCTTTTGTGACTGAGCTATTTCATTCAGTGTCCTCCAGGGTCACCCATTTTATATACTATTTCGTGAGTTCTTTTTCAGTGCTGCATAATATTCCATTGTGTGAATATACCACAGTTTATCTGTTTGTTTGTTGATGGGCACTTGGGCTGTTTCCAGCTCTCTGCTATTGTGAACAAAGCCACAATAAACATGGGTGTGCATGACATCACTCTTAATACTTGCATGTTTTCTGTTCCAGTTCCTTTTCTCAACCTGTATGTGACTGGGTGGGTGTGTTTGCTTGCTTTCTCCCTGAGGTTTTCTCCCTGGACAGCAGGCCCAGTTAGGACTGTCTTTGGCGGTTTATGTTGCCTTTTATCAGAAGGGGCCGGTCCCAGGGACGATATTTTGGTAGACGTAGAGGGTTGTTGAGAAAGAGGAGATGCTGAGGGAGGTGGCTGCAGCCCTGGGTTCAAGCCCAGCAGGAAATGTAGGTGGTGACAGCTGACCTTGTGCTCGGTTTTGGTGTGTAGACAGGGTCACTCATGAGCTGAGTCCGGGCTGGGCTGTGGCGTGTATAGGGTCAGAACTCACTCAGGAGCATCTGACACCAGCGGCAGTTGTGACAGCCGCCTCTTCTGTTCCATGACTGACCTGGCTGTATCCAAAAAGGATTCCATTCCCTTCCTGCTTGGGAACAGCTGTGTGCTGGTTGGTGGCGTATTCCTCAGCCGGTGTCGTGTCATTCCTGTGCGTGGAGCTGAGTGCACGGAGGCCTTGTCCCCGGCCAGTCCCAGGGTGGAGGTCAGTGCTGGGCCCCTTCGGCCTCTCACACCCTCCACTCCCACCACACTGGCTGCTGCTTGCTGGGGCCTGTGCAGCTTTGGATGGGCTGAGAGGGTCTGAAATGTGGAGAGCCCACACCCCCGGGATGCCCACCTAGCGCACTTGGAAGTGTGGCTAAGCCTCGTTGACTTGAAGAGCAGGGTGTCGTTGGCTGGGCCCCACGTCAGGGTGAGGGCTGAATGAGGAAAGCAGCAGGTCTGGACAGCAGGGAAACGTGGGGTCTCCCAAGCTTCCAGCTGACGCCCGGACGCAGAAGGCTTGGCGAGGGGTTGAGCAGAACTCAGTGACGAGAGGATGACCCCTCTGTGAACTGGGGTTGATGGCTGCGATGTGACGGTGTGCTTGAGGCTTGAGGCACAGCTTGAGGCTGTGCTTGTGGACACGGATGCTCAGAGGTGCCCACGTGAACAGAGGAGCCTTCAGCACACAGGCCGGGCTTGCTCCCTCCCTTGGAGGACGGGTTTGACAGGGAAGGCTGTCTAAAAGGGGGGCTGTGAGGGCAGGAGGCATGAAGAAGTGGGCTCACACGCTCTCACGATTTTATTAGATTTCAGAGGAAGGGCATAGCTGACAGTGTACACAAACAAAATTTAATGTCAATGAAACTTGTTGTTGTTACGTGCTGTCAAGTTGCTTGCGACTCATAGCGACCCTGTGTACAACAGCCCTAAACTCTGCTCTGTCCTGTGCCAATTGCAGTGTCTCCGACACACCTACCCCCATTACCCCAGTCACTGAATCAATCCACCTCATAGAGGGTCTTCCCCTCCTGCTCTGTTCCTCCACCCTCCCAAGCATGATGTCCCTCTCCAGGGACTGGTCCCTCCTTGCAGTGTGTCCAAAGTATGTCAGATGAAGCTACAGAATCCTTGACTCCAAGGAGCAGCTCGGTTTCACCCTCTCCAGGGCGAACCTGTTCTCCTAGAAGTCCATGGTATATTCATCACTGTTCTCCAGCACCACAGCTCAAAGGCCTCATCTCTCCTTCTATCATCTCTAGTCAGTGTCCAGCTCTCCGATGCATAGCACGCAATTTTGAAGACTATAGCCCAGATCAGGCATACCTTAGCCCTACTGATTACATAAAGACATAACAAATTTTATAAAAAGAACCAGTGAGAATTCTGAAGTTGTTAACATTTTGGACGTAATCGAGCTTTCCCAGTTGCAATTGTAAACTTTCACCAAAGACAAACCCAGCATTCTTGGCGAGAACAGAGTCGTAAAAGGACTCCCTTCGGGGACCAGGACTCTGGATGCACCTTGGTTTCAAGGGTGCTCCCCTGAGAGTTGCACTGTCACCTGAAGGCCACAGCTGTGGGTGGTTCGAATCCTCACCCCACTACCCGCCCCCCCCATAGCATCGAGTGGCTGCTGGAGAGAAGGACGGGTGATCTGCTCCCATGCAGTGTCCAGCCTGGGAGGCCCCGGCTCGTGTCAGCTGTGTATCAGTTCTGACTCAATGGATGAGGTCTTGTTGGCCATTGGGAGGCACCGGCCTCAGAGGAAGAAAGATGAGGCCGTCTCCTGCAGGAATTCACAGCTTCAGAGACCCCACAGGGCACTTCTCCTCTGTCCTGAATAAGTCAGCATCAACTCAGGAACAACAGTTTGGGGGTTTGGGTGGTTTGGGTGGTTTTTTTTCCCCTTTTAATGTACTTTTAATAGATTCCTTGTTGGTGCAGTGGTTAAGAGGTTCACTGCTCTCCAAAAGGTCACTGGTTCAAACTCACGTCTCCCTCGAAGCAGGGGAGAGATGTGGCCGTGGGCGGCCATGAAGATTGACAGCCTTGGAGCCCAGCAGGCACTTCTGCGCTGCCTGGAGTTCTTGAGGGGTTTGTGCAGACACACAATGTCATTGAGGTTCCTTTCCCACGTGGAGCTAATGGGGGCAAACCCCCCAGCAGCAGCGAGTGATGCGGCCTCTCGGCCCAAGGTCTGCCCATCCCTGGTCAGATGCCTGTCTGCAGCAGGCCCGCGTGCTGCTCGTGCGTCTGGAGGTCCCTGGCCCTCTGCAGGAGATGAGTGTGGAGTGTGTCTGCCGTCGTCTGTCCCGTTCCTGCCGGGGTCTGTGGTGCTGGGTGGTGGCCGCGGCGTGCTGGGCTCTCTCAGGGACGTGTAGGCGCTTACTCCCGTGTCTTCTTTCCTCTCTCAGCTCTCGGGACTTCGCCCTTCCCCAGGAGCGGGACCAGGAGGAAGACACGGCAGCTTGGAGATCCGGAAAGTCATGGCCCTCGTGAGTTTTTAAGCCACATCAATACTCACTTCCCTTCCCCAGGAATCTCCCATCCAGCTTCCGTGCGCGAACGTGACTCTCAGATGACCAGCTGGCCCGTGCGTCTCTGAGAGCCCTTCTGTCTGTCTTAGCAGTGTCCCCAGCCTCACTCTCCATCCCTGTCCCTGTCCCCAGCAGCTCAGGCTTCTGTTCGGACCCTGATGGAGCGGAAATCCGTGACGCAGTGGTGAAGTGCTCCGGCGCTTACCAAGATTGGAGTCCAGACCCACCTGCTGCCCTGGGGGGATGACGAGGAGAGCTGCTCCTGCAGACCGTTGTTGTTGTTGTTGTTGGACACCGTCGAATCGACCGCAGCACTTCGTTTCCCTGTGAACAGCCAACTTCCCTGCACTGCACCGTCCTCACAGTCCACACCATGTTCACGCCTCTTAGTGCAGGATGTGTGTCGGCCCATCGCGTGCAGCGTCTCCTGTTAGCACAGTGTCCATCGGTCCATCTCACGGCAGGTCTTCTTGTTAGGACAGTGTCCATCGGTCCATCTCACGGCAGGTCTTCCTGTTAGGACAGTGTCCATCGGTCCATCTCACGGCAGGTCTTCTTGTTAGCACAGTGTCCATCGGTCCATCTCACGGCAGGTCTTCCTGTTAGCACAGTGTCCATCGGTCCATCTCACGGCAGCTCCTTCTGTTAGGACAGTGTCCATCGGTCCATCTCACGGCAGGTCTTCCTGTTAACACAGTGTCCATCTGTCCATCTCACACCAGGTCCTCCTGTTAGGACAGTGTCCATCGGTCCATCTCACGGCAGGTCTTCTTGTTAGGACAGTGTCCATCGGTCCATCTCACGGCAGGCCTTCCTGTTAGGACAGTGTCCATCGGTCCATCTCA